TTGAATTGTTCAAATACCATAGGTGGAGTTTCTATTCTACAGTGAGAAAAGTTGTGTTTATGACGAAAATGTACTTGGCAGCAAAGAGCTGTAATGAAAAGGTAATTCACATCTAAATTTGGCACTACCTCTGTAAGTCTTTTAGTTATTGATACCTGGAGGATCAGACTGTTTAAATCACATTTCTAGAAGTGATTTTCAAGGTTCGTTTGGCAGTGTGGAGCGCAATTTAGGAGAGTACACTTTCTTTAACATATTTTATCTACCTTACGAGTGGATCTAACGCTCACTGTGTTACACAGTCAGACCTAATATGCATCAGGTATGTTAGCTCACTGAAAACGGATGCCTTAATAATGTTTGAATTGTTTCATTACTTAAAGAGATATAAAAACTATTTGTCCCATTATTCTGCTGAGTGAAACATAGTTTTAATCTTGAAGCCTTTCATGCAACTCTATCTGAGGCACTACTTTACTTTACCCTCAATATTAATCGACACATTCTCCAGGCGTATCTTGAAGGGATCGTTAAAGAGATCGAAAAGCTTTATTTAAGTTCATTATTGAAGTACTGTGTCTTTGGGAAATGTTAACTATTAGCAATTTAGTGTAGGTAAACAGAGACAGCATGGGGATCGTATTACCCCATGCTGTAAATGTAGCCACAATACATAAAACAGTCTTATACCAGTACTGTAAATACAGTATATCCCCACATGAGGAGACATTTTGTTTTTCCACAAGTGGCTGAAACTTTGAGGTTTCCTTACCACGACGTGAAAGCAATTTTATCTGCGATTTATCTGCGATAGTCTGTTATCGGCCAGCCTGCGTGGACACATGAACGCATAGGGGCACCTCGGCATCAATCACGACCCAGACAGAGTTTTTAATAGGAAACAGAACAAGCATAATAAATAACACAAGTCAAGCGTATACTGTTACTAATGATCTTTAGATTAGCCATTATGAGGAGCGAAAGTGGTGGGAGTCACTTAATTAATCTCTGTGGATGTATCACAAAATACTAGTCAACCAGCAAAATAAATGATACTGTTGAGTCTGTGTGTGTGTGTGTGTGTGTGTGTGTGTGTGTGTGTGTGTGTGTGTGTGTGTGTGTGTGTGTGTGTGTGTGTGTGTGTGTGTGTGTGTGTGTGTGTGTGTGTGTGTGTGTGTGTGTGTGTGTGTGTATGGTGTGAGTATACTGCATATTCTGTAATTGAACATTACAATGATATGTTCCTACATGTATGTGGCTTTGCAGGTTATTATAAAGCTGTGGAGAAAGATTTCTGTGTGGGTGTCCTGATGCAATTAGGTAATGAGATTGTGTGTTCTCGTAGGTACACAGGGAAGGGAAGCCTTATAGCCTATAATGTTCAAAGTTCTAAAACCATGCATATTGAGTGTATATTGTCTATGAATCTATGAATTTTTAGCGTTGTTATAAATGAGTTCTGTATTGAAATGATGTTCATTATACTATATGTGTGCAGTTTTGCTGAGAAGACTAAAGCGAACAGATGCACTATGGATAACTTGATTTGTATGAGATGTGTGTTCTCATGCTGCTACATTTTTACTATTTTTTACTGGAGCTTATATTTGTTGGAATACTAAGGGTGTGTGGTTGTGATCATTGTATATTTGATGTTTTTGGAAGAAAAGACAAAGTTCCAATGAGGTGAAGAGTCAGTCTAATCAATAATAGTCTAATTAGCTTGTTGATCTGTGGATAATGTAGATGAATATGTAAATTGTTGTGTACTTGGTGCCTCAGATATATCTTTCTCCCTATCTATGTGCCCTTTTAATTAATGGGATGGCAGACTGGTCTAATGCAGAGATTGTACCATAACTGAAAAGTTGCCGTTTCTGTCCCTGCTGTAGCCAACAAGCAAGCAACTTTCAATATCACTTCACATGTATGATTCCACATTTTACAGGTGACATTTTCTTAGATTTTAAAACCGAAATGACCAGAACTGCTACTTTACGTCTCAATTTTGTTAAAATTCTAGAGCTTAGGCACTGTTGCTGTTATTGACACTCACGCAAAGGCAATGCAGTTTATCTAAGTTTGTATAATGGCTCCAACACTATACATGTTACACTTTTTCTGACATTCCCCCCTAATAAGCCAACAGCCCCCATCCAAACTAAGTTGGAATTTCATCTAACTTTAAACATGACCTGAATCTTTTAACAAGCATATTTCTTATTTATTATACACAATAGAAGCGCACCTTACTTACTTCTATGTATTCCTCCGTGAATGTTCATGCTTTCTTCTAATTTGACAAACTGTATCAAGCATTATGCCCACTTTAATAGGACCGACAGTATGTACACAAGTAGATGGGTAGGCAGAAATGTGCGATGTTATTCTTGCTGTGTCAGAATATTCTATATCTTATGCATTGCCTGCAAGAGAGTGAATAAAACTGTCAGCATCAATTAACAGCTATCGTTGGTTTACCTCCTGATTCTAAGTGGGTATAATGTCATTTTGATTTTATTTAAATCACTGAGTCATTTCCCAGCTCCATGAGAAATCTACCTCCCTTGCTGTTAGTGTCAAGTTATGATGAAGAGAGGGAATATAATTATTGTCTCTATGCATGCATGAGTATATTCCTCTTTCTACCTTTGGCAATGCTGGGGTGTTTTGTGGGGCCAATTAAAAGATTGAAGGAGATTATGTGAATGGAAAAGCAGCGTCAGACAAAGGGACATACAGTTAGGGGTACATCATTTCCATTAGCGTCACCGGGTCCCTTTTCCACGACATGGATTTTGAAATACATGTTTTTTTAAACCCAATACACATGGAGACCTTTTTTTGGAGCTAATGAAAACATCTGTTATTTTTGTTTGTTTTTCAGATTTTTTCTTTCCTCATTGGATTTGCATTGCAAATAGAGTGAAGAGTCGGACTTACTGTATGCTTTTAGTGTTTTCAATCTTTTAATTATTAGACTTTTTCATCATACCATCACTGTGGAAAAAATATACTGTGATATGATTTTAGGTCGCATCGCCCACCCTTTCATACAGTATAAATTGAGAATGAGAAGAAAGAGATACTCACTTCATATGGTAGACACTGAGGAGGAGGAGGAGGAGGAGGAGGAGGAGGAGGAGGAGGAGGAGGAAAGTGTCATGTGATGGTGTTATTCACTCCGGGAAATCCTTTTTGTTTCCGCCCACAACTGTCCTCTGGGACCCCTGTCTCCCTCCGCCTGGGGGCCTGGGAGCTTTGTTGTTGTGAGAAATGAAAGTCTTTGTGTGTGTGTCTCCTAAATGTTCTACGCATTTATGAACTTGTGTGTGCGTTGTTCCATTTGTGTTTTTGCGCTTTCTGAAGTTTCATTGGGTTATTATAGTATGTCTTTAAATATGAATTTGTGTACATATACATGTATGATATATATTTTCCTCGGGCCCTCTATGCTTTAATCATTACACTGACTTTAAATGATTTTCTTTCTTTCATCACTTTTATTATCCGACAGCATTTGTGGAAATTAAATGCTTTAATCATTTGATGCCTTCAGACTTTCCTCCCAACTCATTTGCATTGTTATCCCATATTTCCTTTGAGGAACAGTTTTACCTCAAAAACAGCAGAAACACACTGACCTCTTAAAATGACAAAGAATATTAGATGAAAGCACTGAGCAAAATTGAAGCAGATAAGTGGATCTGCTCGCTGCTGTCAGTTTTAAAGCCTTTCTAGCTACAAAGTTGCACCACTGAATATTTATGAGAGTTATCAGAACAAATTTGTCAGTGAAATAGAATATGACAAATGCTTTAGGTGTCTTAAAAATGCAAAAAAAAAGTTTTTGTCTAAAAAAACTGCATGCTAAGTGAGGCCATATTTTGGTTTCTTTCATAATACAAGATTACATTCATTATTTTAGGCCTTTTTGAGAAATAATGAAATAGTGCTTATTTCAGCTAAAGCAGTTTCCTGTGTCATTGGTCTTGTGTCAGAATACATTGACTTGAATCAAAGCTCGATGGCTTGTTCTTAAAATATATTTTGCAATACACATTTTCACTAAACCATAAATATGACCCTTTTTATTCCGCAAATTATGCATTATTTACATTTATTTTATCCTATGTAAGTCTTTGCCTGTGTATTCTGATACTGAGAAACATCCCTGACCTTGAATGGTGACCTCAATATATTCATCATGCAACATAAACAATTGAATTCTGTACATAAAATCAGAAACGATTGCATTGTTCTGAAAAGAAGCTAAACGTTGTCAGTATAATTGATTGTAATAATGCGATTGTTTAAACCAGGGAACACTGTGTTCAGCGTTTCCCCCCCACACGGGCTCACACCATTATGTTCATAATTCAATTAAAAGCTATCTGGGATAACACAAAAAAGCCATTGAGATCATCCCCATTGTGGGCTGTGTGGTCCATAATTAACGTCCCTATCTCCTGCCTCGCCTGTTCAAAGAGAGTTAAGGGCAAAAGAAGGCCATGGGAACTCCATACAAATGCAAATCTCAGTCACCTGTTTAATGCAAATCACCGCAGGGGTCAACTTGAATCGGGTTTGATTGAAACTTCCTCATACAAGATAGGCCATTTTATGATTTTACTTGCTTTAATCTTCCCTGTTAAAAAAAAAAAAGAAGCTTTAATGTCACAGAGAAAAACCCAGACAGTCAAAGGCTCCAAATCCTGTAACGGTGTGGTTAATGTCAAGTCTTGTGATGTGGAGCAACCCTTGCATGTGAGACCTTTTCATTTGTTTGCAAACATTTTGGGATTATTTTGATACATGGATGAGTCAAGTCAATTTTACTTATCACATATCACACGTTTAACTTAAAGGAGACCTATTGTGCAAAATCCACTTTGTCATGTCTTTTATACATACATATGTGTAAAGAGACTGTGAAAGCTTCACTCACTTTTTGTCCTGATCCATTTATATAAAGACCTGTCTGAAAATGAGCTGATCAGATTTTGACCACTTTATGATGTCATAACAATTGTTTGGCTTGTGTAACCATTAGCCAATAACCAACTAAGGTAACACCTGGCCACCTTATCACCTGGATCTCCTCCTAAAGCATCATTGTGTTCTTTTTAACCAAATATCTCTCAGAGAGGCGTGGGGAGTGGCTCCTTATTATCATCTAAAGTAAAAGACAGGGAATCAGCACTTTTGAAACAGGGCTGAAACAGGGGTTTATGGGATGCTACAATGGGTGATCTGTTTGGTGTTTGGAGCAAAACACTTCAGAGACATGTTTTGTATATATCTGAGATCTATAATATATTGATGAAAAACAGTATAATAGGGGACCTTTAAGGGGCTTTATTACATGGCTTAGTTGAATACTCAATTCTGATTGGTCAAATCAGAACAGGTGACACGTTGTTAATCCAGTATAGACAGACCGCTGTCGAGGACTTATTGACCGTTGTTAAGGACGCTCACATTTGCATTAAGAAGTCCGGTCGATTTAACTGTATTAAGTTTTGAACTGGGACAAGAAAACAGCGGTGAAGTAACGGGATAGAAACCCTCCTTTTTACGGGACGGTCCAGACATAGACATAAAACGGCAAAACATATTCAGTTGCCAGTTACTTTGGCCTTAGGGCAGGGATATCTAGATACTTTCCAAGGTTTGACATAATGAATTGTGCTACTTTTAAAGCAAGCAACGATGTTTTCAAATCTGTAATCAAAAAGGTCCGCAAACACGCTATCGAAGCAGTCCCTGCCGTTGCTACGTAGTTCAAACATTAACAACGGACTATTTTTCTTAGCGGATGCATGTCATTGTAAATTAATAATAGCCTACTATTTTTTTAAATCAATAAAAACATTTTCGAAATCAATAAAAGCATTTCAATTAATATTGGGACTCATGTCGTTACTTTGTTGAGAATGTGGCCTTGTAATAAGCGGGATAATGTGCAGTGACTTGGTCATTATGGGGAAAAGAACACCCTTCATGCTGATCAAGTTCCCTCCGCTTCACGTCGGGCTCCTGACAAGCCTGTCGGGTGTTCTTTCCCCATAATGACCGCTTCGCTGCACATTATCCCTTACTTACAACCTGTACAGTATTACAAAACCAAATGTCCTTAAACTCTCTCTTTGGATAGAACTCCCCCTGAAAAACTAGAACAGTGTTAGTACTCTAAAGAAGAGCAACTGAGGCGGGATTCTTCTTCCTGGACATGCAATAGTTAGTAGTGGTTTGTACAAAGAGAGAGAGAACTGTGCCTGTGGGACACAAACACAGCACAACAAAGCAATTGTACTACCTGAAATATTAAAAATACAAAAATTAAACGCAAGTCAAGCAGGGGAATAATCCTCAAACATAATTTATTCCCTATACACAGTTAGTTGGTCTCATTTATAAACCATTGTCTTCTTCTCCATGCCAATGGGGTCTTTTTGATAGCCATTTGTAAAGAGGTACTGCTACTTCCGCAACCTCAAATTTAGATAAGCTGTAGAAGATGGATGGATTTTTAAAGAGTCAAAGAAAAAGTGTTTTAAGTGAAATGAACAGGATGATGTCTTTTCACTTTTGTACCTTTGTCCGTGTCACTTTTTTACACTTTTACAATCTCGCCATCGTTCGTTGACTTATCTGTCCCTGATGCTGTCTTATGCTCCATATAAACATGGCCGAGTTTGTCCTCTTGTTACTGATGGTTTTCTGTACAAACTGTGGTTCAGCTCCATTTTGTCCATGCCAGGCGAGTCTCAGCAGATAGAGGCCCAGATTGGTGGATGACTCACCATCACTTTATCCCCCATTCTCGTCCCATCGCCTTCATTCTTTTGACGTAATGGAGCTAATGTTCAGCCCTGTGGACAGCTAACAGGGAGGCCTGGGCCTTATGCAAACTTTATGATGGCAGAGACCAACGTCTGTTCTGCTCGCTGTTGAAATGATGTGTCGATTGGCGTTGCACTTCTTCTAACCCTGATTTCTGCTGAATTATTGACGATCAACAGAGTCAGGGTTTGCTTTTAGTGCTCCCCTGTGAGGCGTTTCAGGGCTTAGCACTGCATCTGCACTCATAATATCATCACGACCCAGACGGCACAGAGCAGACTCTCAAAGCAGCCAAACTTCTATGTTTCCAAGTAATGGTCTTGTAAGTGAGTGAATAGATGCGCCGTGTGTGTCTGAGGGCTGCATGTGTCTCTATTTAAATGTTGTATGGTTGACATTTGAATTTATTTTTCTTTGTTACGATTTGTTGCCATTTTACATTTTTGCCATGTGTATTTGCCATGTGTGTATGCCATGGTGTATTTCATCTCCAGCGTTTTAGAGCATTGAACAAAGAAATATATTTTTTCAGCTGATTCATAAATAAATTACCTTTTTTTTTCTTTCAGCAGCGTCAATTTCCATAAAGATTGCATTTTGAAGCAATGCCCAGATCAGAACTATCTTTAGAGCAGGGTTCTTCAACTACTGTATTACTGTGTTGGTCATATTTCTCAGAAAGCAAGGCTCAGGTGCCAGACATTTCCCCGAGCTATGAATCTTGGGGTGTTGATCGAACCACTCAACCTTTCTCTGGCCTTATGAACATACCCCTTCTTGTTTTTGTTTTTTGTGCTAAATTGCATTTATTCTGTAACGCACACAGCAGAAGTGTGTGCCTCTGAAGTGTGTATGATTTTGTTTTATTGAGTTATTTTCATACATTAACTTTTTATAGACCCTTCCACTACTTGTACTGTGTGTTTGCCTTTTTATGTGTTTTGTGTTTTGCTCGTAAACATAGTTTTTATGCGACAAATCATTTGCCATCTCAGTTATTCATAATAAAGTAAACTGAAGCCCAACTGAATTATTAATTAACTAGGCTATGTTTAATAGGACTAAACATTGCGTCACTTTTACTTGAGATGTTTAGTAAATTCTCTCTAAATGTAGTCTACATACAGTATTTGTCTGACTTTACATTCTTAAATGGAGACCTCTCACCAGAAATGTAATTGGTCTAATATCAGTGCAGTATGATGTTTTAAAAAAAAAAAATTGTATTCCTTTAACAGTTTAAATCTCTGTTTTAAATGTGTCGACCGTTGTGTCCTTCAGAGTGTGAGCAAATTTCTACTTCTACTTATCAGGGATTGAAGCAGATCAGCTGTGTGGGCGTACATTCAGTGTTCTTCCATCCAGCAAAGTGGTACACAGTTTGCTAAGTTCACCTAAGTGTGTTTTCTTGCTTTACTGCCAACAATTTTTACTTTTTAATAATGACACTGATAAAGTAAAATCCATGGAAAAAATTGTATTTATGCTTTTCTATATTTTTACTGAACATCTTCTTCAAATGGGAACACGTCTCTTTTACAAGCTGTCCTGTTTTTGTTGAGCATGAACAACTGCAAAGATCCATTAAGTGCATGAATATTAGATAAATACACTCTATTACACTTGTTTTCTTGCATGACAGTGAGGGAGGTCTGCACTTGTGTTTGTGTATATGTGGGTATGTGTGTGTTCCTAAGTACAGAGTCATTTTCTCCATAGCTCACCCTCATAAGATATTTACATGGACATCTATTATGGATTGTGATCTGATTGAAGCTGAGTGTTCCCATCATGCCCCCTCGGTGAACTCATCAAACAAGAACCAGTTTTGTTTTAGATACAGCCTTAGTTTAGTCTCCAAAGTAAACCAAATGATGATGGTGTTTATCACTCTTGATAAACTTCTAATGTCTTTTTTTGCATGTTGTTCTGTGTTTTGCATATTTTCTCTCCTGGTAATTATGTGGAAACATCTGTAAAACTTGGCAAAGTAACAATCTGGAAACAACTGTTGTATCCTTTCTTTTATGGTGAGGAATGTGCAGTCACTCTCTTGTGTGCGCTTTAAGTCAGCACAAACAATGCCTTCGGCGCTCCACCACAACAAGTCATATGGAGTGTGCTGCTTGTGTTGCCGTATTCCCTCCCTCAAATGTAACTGCTAAATCTAAATCCAACTTGGATTCACAGAATACCCACATCTCCAGGCAAGAGGCATATTTCTGGCTTCATGTAAACACATCGGCTGCTCTAAGAAGCCCTAAATCCGTAATCCTCCACACTTTGGGCCAGATCCACCTCTCTCTCGGTCTCTGTTCACCTCACTCTCTTTTCAAATGTCTCTCTTTAATTTCTCTTCCTGTCTCTCGCTGTCAAATTCACTTTCTGTCACCACGTCCTCACGAACATGGTCAAAAAGGCACACAAACCCACGCTTTGACCGCTCAGTGGTGGTCCCTCGGATGCTTTATTCATTTCACCAGCTGCCCTCAAGTCACCCACTGTCCCCCACCCCACCTTCTACCCGCCTCGTTTTTCCTTATCTCTCTCTCTCTCTCTTTCTCTCTCTCTCTCTCTCTCTCTCTCTCTCTCTCTCTCTAGCCTTTCTTTCTTTTTTTGTCCTGTACCCTTCCTTCTCATCTCTCACACCTCCCTTCTTCCAGTCCGTCACACTATATTCCTACTTTTTCTCCCTCGATACTCAACCCTTGGTGTCTTTCTCCTCCCACTGCTTTTGTAATGTATTCTCCCACCTCTGACCTGTGTCACTCCTCGTACATCGCATCTCTGTCTCATCTCTGTGTCCTCCTCATCCCCCTTCACCATTTTTTCTCTTCTCCTTTCGAGATTTTGCAAATTTGAAATGGTGTTTTGTCTTCAGAAGTCAAATTCAGGTTACAGTGTGCCATCTGGAAGTGAGAACTGCTGATTGAAGTGATATTTAAATGACGTTGAAGCCATTATTGATATTCTGTTTCTCAATTTATCCATCTAAATCATTATTTATGCTGCAAATATTTCAGCAATTTGACTACAATTTAAATAAAGAGTATTCAAGTTAGCACTCTGTTCATGTATATTCATATAAATTAATTTGCATGCAAATAGGTGTTTGTAAGACGTAAACAGATACTGCAAAGGTGGGAGCACTTGCACTTTAAGTGTAAAATGAAATGTATATCATTTCATATAATGCAATTTCACGTGAAAGGTGCTAACAAGAAAACACCTTTGAGTTTATACCTCCGCCAAAAGATGAATATATTCAATGCACATTATAATAATTAATCAAAGTACTGATGCATGTCTCTCTTCCTTTCCTACCTCTATATGGCTGTTTTATCAATCAATGTTAAAATGAAGTACATAGTTGTATACCCAATGTATTTTTAACTCCATCACAGTAACCATGCAGAAAATCTCTGAAATACCTCAGAAGACAATGTTTGAATATCCTTAAAAAAATCCTCTGTATCTGCAAAACTCAATTTGATGAAAATCTGTTCCCTGTACACTTACAATGGAACAAAGTAATACAGCCTACATTGGGAATAGTACTAGACTAGGCAGTGTCACATCTTTTTAAGTTAGGGAGAAGAAAAAAAAAACAATCCGATTCAAGCTCCAGGGAATTAGGCTATTAATAATTGGCCCAATTCTAACAAGTTCAAGAGGTCACTTAACATTTCTCTCTTTCACCTCTATTTACTCTTTTTAGTCACTATTTCTGCCTCAGGCCACTCATTTGGTCCCTGTCCTCCCACCTCCCTGCTCCCTCCCTTTGTCCGCTGTCTTTTTCTTCCTCGTGTCCTACCGTCTCCCCTCACTTCAGGGGCAATGAGAGTCAGCTGTCAGCACCACAGCGTCTCCTGAGCTCTGAGCAGACCCGACAGCAGCACTGATCAGATCACTCACTGAACGTCTCTCTCCGGGCATCACTCGCACACAGCTATTTATACTGCCGGTTACACTGTTTTATTTATTCATTAGAATGTTTTTTTTCTGTCTGGTATGTTTTTTTTTAATTCATATGTGTGTGGGCCTGACTCTAACTTCGCTTTTTTTGATGATTTTTATGCAAAAGTCAAATATATATCCAACTAATTTTCTCCATAGTGCCTCCTGGGTACCTTGAGGCGAATCATCATTTAAACATTAGACCTGTCAGCGGTACGAGAGGGGAAAATGTTAATGTATTATTCAGTACTTCTAATTCTGGTCCGTTCCTTTTCTGGCTCTGTCTATACCTGTCTGGATCAGCATTCTCTTTATCTGTTGCCTACTGCTGGTCATAAATAAACTTCGAGGGACTGCGGATGGAAATTAGCTCAAAGCTAAATCTGGCACTGTTACGCTTGACACATTTGAATGTTTTAAGTGTTCATTACTGTGCATTGTCCCTGCTAAATAAACGACTAAATGAAATAGGACTATTTACTTGGAAATAGGGTTGCAAAATTCCGGGAATTTTCAAAGATGGAAACTTTCCACGGGAATTAACGGGAATAAACGGGAATTTATGGGAATAAACAGGGAAATTTTCTAAATTGAAGGTTGGCTCTTCATAGGGAACTTAAACATAGTTTGGGAAAGTATATTTTAGCATAATCTTGACTAAAACAAACAGATGCCATTCAAGTACACTTGAATATCCATGCCATAGCACACTGCTTACTGCATGACTATTGAGACCACACAAAGGTTCGCAACAGGCTCACAAATGTGAGAGTGGATAAACTGGTTGGCATTCGGGCAAACCTAAGTCTCTTTGAGCCTGACACAGAGCCATCCTCAACAAGGCTGGACAGTGACACTGAAGAGGAAGACTCAGAGTTGGATGTTGATGAGGCCCAGGAAGAGCCCATCGACTGAAAGGGTTTAGCAAAAATGCAGAGGATTGCCTGAAGGAAGATTTGCATGTTTAATGGGACTTTTTGGAGGGAGAAGGGCTCTTTTCATTTAACATTTTGAATTGGACTTTGTGGGGATCTTTGGATGGGGTGTGCATTTTTGTTCATTTTTTAATGAGTGGGGTTGGGGTGGATGAGTAACATTTAACTCAACATTCATGTTTTCGTTCTTCAATGAAACAAATAATTGTTCAATAAAATAAAACTTAATAATAAAATAAAATAAAATAAAACTTGTTCTGTTCTACTTTTAAAAAATCTGTTGAAATGTCATGTTTTTTTGTTTAATTTTGCATCGAATATTTCCAAAATTCCCCAGCTTAACTTCCCATGTAAACTTACCGAAAACTTCCCGTAAATTTACCGGAAACTTTCCCCCCCTTTGCAACCCTATTGAGGTATAGCAATTGTTTATCCATTCCAATACTTCATTGTTCACCGTCTGATCGTCATCTTGAAGGCCGGAATGGAGATTGACTTAAAAGAAAACTTCTACAATGGCATTGCTTCATGATGAGCCAATTAGCAGTGTTAATAAAAAGCAAAATTGTCCTCAGGGTATATAGTCATTGGGTTTCGAGACCATATAGACCAAAGAGTTCTGACGCTTTTGCTCTCAGTAGGTCTACAAAGATAACCTCAACACTTCCCATATCGAAATGTTGTCCTGTTGCCTTCATTAGCAGATATCAGTTTATAGAAATAAGGGCTATACTAACCGTCCATGCTGGTGCCCAACAGATCATTATTTTAGATGAGGCCACGGCATCCATCGATGCAGAGACCGACGCCTTGATCCAGAACACCATCAAAGAAGCCTTCGAAGACTGCACCATGCTCACCATCGCCCATCGTATCAACACTGTCATGTACTCAGATCGAATTCTAGTCATGGACAACGGGGAGGTAACAGACAGACACAAAAACACAAAGGTAGGTTAATGTGAAAATAAACCTATACTTACAGTAAGTATTCTGTTCGACAGGTGGCAGAGTTAGATCATCCAGATGTGCTGAAGCAGCGACCAGACTCTCTGTTCTCCGCGCTCCTTGCTGCTGCTAACACTATGAACCACTGAGGCCCTGGGGCTCCACCATACATTTGTGGCTGTCAGTCCGCTCATATTAAAATGTGGACTGGTTGGCTAGGATCATGCAGAGCTGACCAGTATAGACTGCGCTCTACAGAAGCCCTGAGAAGAAAATTAGACTTTTTTTCAGTGGCTCTGGTTTTTTTTTCTCTCCTGTCTTTGTGCCAAAATTATGCATAACAGTAAGGTCACATAACAACCATTTGTTCAGAGTGCAGGTAGCAATTGAAACTCACCTGGCAAAAAACATGATTGTTCTTATTCCTGTGTAACAAATGTTCCTTTCAGCATTTTGTGGCCAAAATATTAGCACTACAACAACAAACACCTGTCCTGATTTTCATCAAGCAATACTTTTCCACTAACGAAACAAAGTGAAGAAACGTTTTCATTTGTTTTTAAGCCAAACTTTGTAAATAGTAATGTATTTATCTCACTTGTCTGCTGAAACACATACCTGTACAATGTTATTTCATAGGAATGTTTACACATTTACCATGAATGTATATTTATTTATTGATTTTGTATGACTTGCTGCCAAAGTTTTATATGTAAAGTGTTGATCTGGGTTACAATGCGCTACATGTGGAAAACCTTTTGAAATAGCATTTGCATTTCATCTTATACAAATAGAAAATAGAGTTTACTATTGTAATTAAAGATCAACAGACTGAAGTAAATGTTGCTGCATGCACTAGGTGGCAATAAATCCTGTACATTTGTAAGGTGTTTGCTTCAATCAATGATCATGTTTTTTTTAATTCCTTGTCAGCTCCCGTAATTTGGATTCAAAATGTACCGTAGCCGACCCGCAAAAACGGGCTACGAAAGCCCTAATCACTTAAGGGAAACACGCTACACTTTCTAAAATGATTCAAATTTTAAAAACACAAATGTGCCCAACATCTTCAACAAATTGATAAATCATGTGCATTAAATCATCCTGCATTAAAGGATGCATTAATGCTGTAAATAATAAAACTGCAATAATCTTAAAATACAACAGAAACCAGGGGAAACTAAAGAGTGATCCACACAGCTGGGACCGGAGCCTTGTTGACATTCAGGGATATAAAGTTGGCCAACCATCACTTGGAACTCACCTCAAATGTACATTTTTGTTGGCTTATTCTAACAATGTGATCCCTGTTTCCTGCATATCTGATGTAAGTTAGCTTGCTAACGTAGCTAACATGGTCATTTCAAAATATACTGACAAAACCCTTACAACAATGAACCAGACTAACTTTGCCTACAGCGACAGTTGGCCAACTTGGTAATCCCCAAAAGTCAACATTGCTTCAGTCCCAGCTGTGTGCTTCACTTTTTAGTGTCCTCTTGTTTCTGTTGTGTTTTGAGCTTCTTGCAGGTTTTTTTTATTTGCATCGTTATATTTATGCAGCGCTTTTAGTAAATGCTCCACATGTTTCGTCAGGTTGGTGAATGTTTTCTAAATGCTTCGCTTCTGTTGTCAAGTTGGTGAAGATGTTTCCTAATTTTCACGTGTTTTTGGCACATTTGTGTTTTTATATTTGCATTGCAGTGGTTTAGGAAGTGCAGTGTGTTTCTCCTCATGTAAGTGTTTGGCTCCGTTGAAACGTGTTTGCATCTGTTGGCCACCGTAGAAGTGTTCAAAGACATTTATAGCTTAGTACGCACAATCAACAGCTATTTTCTACAGACAGTAAACTATCCTCTGGAGTGACACCATCAGGAAATGCGGATTGAAGGGGGGGGGGGTTAATGCTTGATAGTTTTGCGAAGTTGGTGAATTCTTCTTGAGGATCAGCTAAAAAAGTAGAGAATGTTTGTTTAGCATTTCCTTTAGAAGAGAATTTCACACATATAGGTAGCAAATCCAAGCGGTGTCTTAGAAGGAAGAGGGTTTTGTGCTGTGAGATCCTGTTGAGGTGTGACATCCCTTTCATCTGTGCTCATTGTGTTGAGGTGGGGAGGTCTCGTCCCCTGCCTGCTCTTTCAATCCCTCCTTTATCTCCCCACTGTGTGACGGGGATACACCATAGGCCTACATATTAAGATATATCATTTTCACGCGTAAATATATAAAGGGATGCCTTGAATAAAAGCATGTTAAGAGCTAATCTAATAAGCACTTCACACTCAAGCCTGTTTATTGTTGTACAGTATAGATATCCAACATAAGAAGAAGGTGAAAAATAACCAACGTTACATTTTAGTGTGTTGCTCAGATTTAGCTCTTATCACCGGTTTTCTAATTGATTAATGTATGAAGTTCAGGTTAGCTGATGCACACAACAACTTTTAGCTAAAGTACAAGGGTACTTGTTAACAAATACAAAGGGGCTGACGGGAATATTCAACACGAGTCAGGCACCTGGTAAAGATGCCACCTGGTCGCCTCCCTAGGGAGGTGTTCCAGGCACGTCCAGCTGGGAGGAGACCGAGGGGCTGACCCAGGACCAGCTGGAGGGATTATATCTCCACGCTGGCCTGGGAGCGCCTTTGGATCTCAAAATCAGAGCTGGTTGAAGTGGCCATAGGGATTTACTCCAGGTGTAACTAAAATCTTATCAGAGTGTTCTTGACTATATTTCACATCATTAAACCCAATTAGCAAAATAACTAAAGATATTAAATAAATGTAGTGGAGTAAATGTACACTGTTATGAACTGTTGTGGGGCAGAACATTTGAGTATCTCACAATTATATTTAAGTACAGTACTTGAGTAAATGTACTTAATTACTTTACACCACTGTCCCCCGATACCCGGCTCTGGATAAGCGGTTCACGATGGAGGAATGTATGGAACAAATATTGTTAAGTGCCGGATGATTTCACATCCACACTACCATCCTCTATGCAGGTCAAGTTGAAGGCACAAAAATGTCCATAAACATCAGAGAGTAGGTACAATAGTCAAAATAAGAAGAATAGAAAGGAGTGGAATGGAATGCCTTCACTGTCCTTGCACACATTGTGCTACAACATTTGCTCTGCAGCTCTTGAAATGATAAATGAAGCAAATGCAGATAACCATACACCAATGCACACCTGCCACAGTAAATAAAAAGAAAGATATGATAGATTAGACTTGAGAGTTCAGTTGAGTGATGGCTCTTGGGTAAGGGCTCATTTAATTCGTATCATTTTTACCTTTTATGATTTCAGACCTCTGAAAAACACTATTTTTACAGTACCAGGCCGGCATATAATTGATTTAATTGTGACTGGTCAGAATTCCACTGAGTTACATTGCATTGGGAGATTTGAGTTTTAGATATATTGTTAAAGACATGATGGATGTGTCAATTTGAATTTATTACAAGTCAAAATGTAATTATAGATATCTGTTATCTCCCTCATGGACACATGATGGCACCAGAGGTGTTTCTCCTTGTTTTTAAGGCTGAACATGGAATGTCTACTTGTAATTTGTTTGCTTAAAGACTTAATTTTCATGTTAACCTTCACACAATATTTGACACAAAATCTTCACCAACTTGACAACACATGCACAACATTTAGAAAACATGTCATAGCTTACTTTTTAGGAAACTCTCCAGTGACATTGGCAGCTGGGCTGGCCAACCCAGTTCCTGTTGTCTTGTGTTCTCATTCTCACCTTTGGGCTCTCAGCATACTAATATTGTATTCCTAAATAGACCACATGTGGAATTTCGCTGCCCATTGGTTAAATAATTCATTCAAAATGGACAAAAACACAACTTTCAATTCTTGATACGCTAAGTCAGTCCAATTAAAAGAATCAAATTCATGTTTTTATTAAGGAAGGCCTTTGAAAATCAAATGGTTATCTTAGTTTTGCATTACTTAAAACTTGATCAGCAGTTTGGTCCATATAACGCTCCGAGCACATCTTCTCAGCTGCTTCAAAAACGTTGGATTTTTTGCCAACCAGTCACAAGTTTTCTGCTCCTTCCTTTAGGCCAGGGCTAAATAAAAATATATCAATGGATCAGTTATACTTGTGTTGGGTTAACCAGCTGGTGAGTTTGATATCAACATATTACAAAGGTTTGTTATCGCATCCCAGATTCATACTGTCCATCCTATCATTCGGCACATTCATTTTGCTCCTCTGTGGGGACTTAACACTGAAGCCTTTATTTATTTAAGACCCAATGCACTGAGAAAAAAGCGCATCATGGGCTTTAATAATGGGAACAGCAGCAAACAGAGCACATCTTCTCTCTTTTCAAATTGGTGGGAAATAAAGCAGTAATCAAATTTAAAGATATATATTGATTCTGCTATCTTAGGGTTGTTTTTTATTTAATTTAGGAGGGATTGAAGTATGCAAAAATAATAGTCTAGAACTGTGTTCTAATTTTTTTTTTGGGAACAGTGGAACTTGTTTCTTCTCTTTTTCCATATTCCCATAAATGTTTCAGGGGTCAGGCATTGAGCTGTCCAGATTAGTTTGTCCCTGTCTTGGGAACCCAATGGTCACTGTGCCGGTCACTGGTTCAACCCCCCGCATGGACCAATAATGTACAAAACACATAAAATATACATTTTGGGGGGGGTGAGATTGGAGCCTCGCAGCGGCAAAACCGTGCCGCGCCACACTAATTGCCCCGCATAAGCGCATAGGTGCAACGCTTTTGCGGCTCAGGTGAGGCTCCCTCCGCCAGGTGAGGCCCCTCGCAGTAAAACCTGACTTTAGGGGATTTATAAAGTATGCTATTTTCTCTCCGAGTTTTGCTCAATGTTCACATTGACTGACACGACAAACCATTACTTACACACGGTAATACACGTTTTTATGTACAAAAGTGGTGGGGCACAAAAAACGTATGTCTATATATATATAAGCTTCTGCAGTGAGGTTCATGGCTGGTGAGGCACTGGCACTGACTCTTCAGGTTTACAAATATTATATTTTGACCTAAATCAAAATATAATATTATTTTCAAAACTTTTTTTGTCTGATGCTTCGATCAATTTTAAACAGACAGTTCGACAAAAGGATACCCAAAAAATATAATTTTATCATTTAAATATTGAATTGTTCTCTCTTAGTAAGATCCTCACTGTAGACACTAATTAGAAGAACACAGACTAAAACAGCAATGCACAGACGAATCAAATTAAACATGATCTTAAAATATATTTTATTTTTTATTTTGTTGTAATCATTCTTTTTAATACTTTCTGCTGACACTAGGTGGGGCTGTGCCTAATGACCAGTCGCCACTGGTAATCACTGGTAATACATTAAAAAAAAAAAGCACATACAGTTGGTTGTGTAGGATGAGCTGGGATGAGTCAAGCACGCGCTGACGTAGCTGCACGCAAACGCGGGTGGGAGGAGCTAAGGCTCGCGGGGGTGTGAGTTTGTCAGTTTCCTAAAAATAGCGGAGATCTTCTGTCTCTGTTTATCTGCGGGAGTGGCTTTGATAAAAAGCAGTATTTACAGAAGGACACAGAGGGGTAAGTCTTCTGCCGTTATGTGTGTAAAGTCTGTTTACTGTCTGTCTGTCTGTCTGCTGTGGACACTCAGAGGGGAGCCACTTCAGATAATGTTCCGAGATTCCTGTCAACACACAGCAACTTGTAGTCCGTTACATTGTTCCTACAAAATAAAAGTAAATGCTCAGTAAGCTATGGGTTAACATGAGTTAAGTTGAGAAACTTCTTGATGTGTTTTTGTTGAGCTTTTGTGGCTTAACGTCTCATTCCATGTGAGTACAGACTACAGTACTCGTAGCCTATTGTACATGTTGTTGTGATAAACCGTGATGGAGCTTCATAAAACTTTGATTCACTCTGCAACGCTGTGCAAACCACTAGCTGTTTTTAGCCGGGAAGCTACTTTCTCTATTGTGTTCCTGGGATACTCCTGTGTCTTAATGTAATGGAACCTGCTGTTTCAGAAAGTGTGGTGTATAGATAATATGTTCTAAATGGTTTACTAGTGGGGCTGCTATTATTAGGACCAACAGCTAAAACTAACAAAAGTTCATAGCAATTCAGAAACACCGTCATACTGGAAGTCCCTACTACAGTACAGGAATGCTATAGTACCATTACACTGACTCTTAATAATAAATACACGAAGGTAATTGGTCTTAGCTGTCAAAAAACAAAACGTTTATCTCACACAGCACAACAAAGAGTTCTGCACTATTTCAATCTAAGAGTTTTAGTCCAAAATGCTGTCAGTATAGTAAGCCTACCTAAAAAAATACCAAACGTAGTATATTCCCTAAAAAAAGACTTGTCAGTTGTTTGGTCTCATGTCGTTTTGTTTTAGAAAAGAAGAAAAAAATGATTCAGTTATCGGATTTTTAAAGTATAACTTCACTTTTTTCAAGTCTATCCTCATACAAAACTAACATTTGCACTTTGAAGGGATAATCAGGAGATCACTATTTATTTGTTTTGTTCATAGGCTACTGGCTAAAAAGGGATCCCTTCATGAAGCGATGTCAGTGTAAAATGACATGCATTGGTTCACGCTAACTTTACACTTCAGCGCTCAAAGAATGGATCTCTTTTGTTGCTAATATTGACAATAGGACCAATTACACAATCTAATATTGTTTGAAAGTGCATATCAGCATGTGAGTATTGTCTTAAGACAGCATTGAAAATAGGCCTTAATGTCTCTCCCCCCCTTTGCCACAGGTTTAAAGGTTTTTAAACTCAAAACAAGTTGCATTAATGCTGTCTGTGTGGTTTCTATGAGAATTGAGACAATTCAAGACTAAGAAGGGAAGTAGTACTCTTTCGTCAGTACATTTAAAACAAAAATGTCTTAAGTCTGGAAGGTAAGATTACAGAAATACAGCATCAAAACATGATGATATTTTATATTTGTGTTCTGTATGGTTTCCAATTGACCTTTCGCAAAGCCACGCCCCTAAATGCCCGTTGTCCAATCATATTCGATCACGTGCGCGGCTCCCTGTGGAAGTCCGACAAGCTTAGCGTTCAAATTCATTGCGAAAATGGTGAAGCGTTGTGCTTATGGTCTTTGCAAATCGGATAGCAGATATCCCATAAGCTTAGAGGGGGGGGTGATATTTTACCCGTTTCCTAAACCCAAAACCCGAGAGAGATGCCGCCAGTGGATAAAGAAATGCGGCAGGCCCCATGCCCAGCTGAATATGGCGAATATCAACAAACACAAATAAGTTTGCTCCAAGGTAAATACGTGCTAACGTAGCTAGCTAGCTAGCAAAGATTACATTCACAAATTAACTAACTAATTTAATTAACTAATTTCACTAACTAACGTTAGCTAAAGTCACACGACTACAGCTGTAAGCTGTGTGCTTCTAGGTCGTTTTGACCATGTATATCACTTGATGTATAATAATGTCTGAACAGCTGAGCTCCGTTATTAGTCTACCTGTGGTCAAAGTACAAACAAGAAAGCCAACAGGCAATCATTCATTTATATTTTGCTTTAATCTTTGTAGCATTTTGTTAATGGAAAGCCTACTGCCGACTTCCCTAATCCTGCTGCACAAGTGGGCACCCCGACCCCCACAAAGGAACAACAAGGTGGATGCAGAAAGCCACCAAGGAAACGGTAGTTAAC